AAATAATCCTAGTTATACAAAATTCATTTACGAGATATTTCTTGAGCTTTCTTTTGAAAATTGTAACTGTTGAGCATATATGAAGTTCTTGGGGCAAACTGTTCCATTATTTTGGTCCGGCATAAATAATTGTTGTTCTTGAGAAATCATAAGTAAACATTAGCAGGTGAAAAAGATTTGATTGATGAGTTTCATAATTAGTCACATTTCTGTTACAAATAAAACAATCATCTAGAAACTTTGGAAGTATATTTTTAGAGTAAGAAAACATAAAGATGCCAATCTGTTGCTTATGTATATCATAAATTGTTAAAATACTATGTTTTTTAAATATAGGAGCAGTGTGAGAGAAGGAAGTTAAACATAATTCGTATTGACCGTTTCTGAAGAATTAAAATTCGATTTAAATGGGTTTTGGCACAATCTCCCTACACTATATTACAGTAGATAACATAGGGTAGAATCATGGTATTATAAAGATTAAGAAGGATATTAAAAGGTACAATTTGTTCAATTCTGTTCCTTGCACAAATAGCTTTAGATATTTTACATGATACATAGTGTACGTATTCTTTCCAAGTCAGTTTGTTGTCAATTCTTACTCCTGAAAAATTTGTAAAATTTACTATCGATATTATTTGTTGGTTGATACTTATTTTTTATCCCGATGTATTAATATTTTGGTTTTTTGGTAGAAATAACATACAGCATGTTTTTTTGTGCATTCAATTTTAATTTATTTGCTTTAAACCATGTATCAATTTTTTAAAGTTGCGTATTAATAGTAGAACATAATCTATCAATATTTTTACCAGACAAAAATAAGATAATTTAATTAAATTTTGGGACTAGTAGGTCAAGATCTCCGTCGTAAGATTGCATTAAATTATAGACTCTTTGTTTTCATTGTGATATGTCATTAATATTTTCATCTATTTCCAATACTGAATATAGGGCGGAGGCGTAAAGAAGACGCAGTCGCATTTGTCGTGTGTAAAAGTCTGCACATGTGGAATGTCCAATGTACATGTATTTAGAACTTGTATAATATATTATCTTGGTCATCAGATTATTATATTTGGTTGCATAAGTAATGAAATAATATCGAATATTCAATGTATATTTCATATTATCACACCTCAATGGACTTTAGATTTTAGGGCATAAATCTGCACATAACTTCCATTGTTAATACACGATATCATAACTCACTGTTATGATTATATTTGCGTGTATACGTCTTCACATTGTAATTGTGCTTCCGGTCAAATGAAACTCTCTGTTTGGAATATATATTTTTGCTGCATTAGTCTGCCCATTGTCATGATGAATGCCCTATTTAAGTATAATTAATATGATATCATACCTCCTCGATTAGATTGGATTTGTATGTATAGGTCTGGACATTACAATGGTAAACGTCCAATTAATATAGATACCCTAAAAATCATATCTTGATGTTTAATGTGGATTTCTGTGCATAAGTCTGTACGCGATGTTTAATATTCAATGTATATGTATTTCATATGATATATCTCTCTCTGTTGAGCTAAAAAATATGAGTGCATAAGTCTGCACAATACAAAGGTGAATATATATTTGCATATTTATTTCATGTACGCCATAATTTGTAATGTCAAATGTTTATATTTGTTATATAATATCAGACTAATATTGGATTTTCGTGCATAAGACTGCACATTGTAATGGTGAATGCCATATGCATATATATTGTATGTAATATTATACTGAGATTGGATTTTTGTGCATAAGTCTGCACATGATAATGGTAAATGTTAAATGCATATATATTTCATGTAATATCATACTGAGATAACATTTTCATGCATAAATCTGCACATTATAATGGTAAATGTCAAATGCATATATATTTTATGTTATATCATACTGAGATCGGATCTGTGTGCATAAGTCCGCACATTATAATGGCGTATGTTAATTGCATATATATTTCATGTATTATCATACTGATTTTGGATTTTTGTTCGTATGTCTGCATACCATAATGTTTAAAGGTATTATGTCCCATTTGCAGGCCCCAAAAATGAAAAGGTTAAATTCCAACGGCATTTGAAAGATAAAACTAATTTAGAAAATCCCTAAAAAAAGGGGGCTTGAAAATGAAGTGGAAAAATAACCACTATTAGTTGTCAAATAGACTTAAGAGCTTTAGGGCCCAAAAGTAATAATCTGATTTTCAGACCATTGTATTGAATGGTCGTACGTTATATGCTGCGCCAAAGATTCAATCAGTTTAATTTTGGCCATTACAAGAAGTGGGTTATTGTTGTAGACAAATGCTCATGTACCCTTTAAAGCTCATGTTATGTATGTTATTACCAGAGAAGAAAAAAAAGCCAGTCAGTCACTCAATAATGTCTGACAGTGAAGTCTAGCAAGGAAACGGGTTTCCTTGCATAATTTGAATATTAGGACACTGCTAATGTTTAAATTTCGGAGATAGGACGTACATGACATATTCATAGTCCTGCAAAGTTCTACAGAATTTGATGTTGGCTGCAAAAGGGACATAGTATCTTTGATGTTTAATGTTTATATAGGCTATATTTCATGTTATATTATACTGAGATTGGATTTTTATTCATAAGTCCGCACATTATAATGGCGAATGTCAAATGCATATATTGTTCATGTAATATCTTACAGAGATCAGATAAGTGTGCATAAGTCTGCATATTATAATGGTAAATGTCAAATAAATTTATAATTTATGTATTTTCATGCTAAGATGGGATTCGTGTGCATAAGTCTGCATACCAGACTGTTTAATTTCCTATGTTTATATATATTTCACGTAATATCATACTGGGATTGGATTTTGTTATGCATAAGTCTGCATATGATATAAGCGAATGTCAAATGCATTTCTATGAGATTGGATTTATGTGCATACATCTGCAGACAAGAATGTTTACTTTCCAATGTTTATATATTTCATGTATTATAATACTGAAATTTAACTCTTGTGCATAAGTCTGCACATTATAATGGTGAATGTACAATGGATATATATATTTCTTGTAATATCATACTGAGATTGTATTTTCGTGCATAAGTCTGCACATTATAATGGTGAATGTACAATGGATATATATATTTAATGCATTATCATACTAAGATTGGATCTTCGTGCATAAGTTTGAACATTATAATAGTGAATGTCAATTGCATATATATATGTCATGTAATATCGTACTGAGATTGGATTTTCGTGCATAAGTCTGCACATTATAATGGTGAATGTACAATGAATATATATATTTCATGTATTATCATACTGAGATTTGATTTGTGTGCATAAGTCTGCACATTAAAATGGTCAACGTCCATTGCATATAATACATGTATTATCATACTGAGATTGGATTTTCGTGCATAAGTCTGCACATTATAATGGTGAATGTCCATTGCTTATATATTACATGTATTATCACACTGAGATTGGATTTTCGTGCATAAGTCTGCACATTATAATGGCGAATGTCAATTGCATATATATGTCATGTAATATCATACTGAGACTGGATTTTCGTGCATAAGTCTGCACATTATAAGAGTGAATTTACAATGGATATATATATATATATATTCCATGTTTTATCCTACTGAGATTGGATTTTCGTGCATAAGTCTGCACATTATAATGGTGAATGTCCATTGCATTTATATGTCATGTAATATCATACTGAGATTGGATTTTCGTGCATAAGTCTGCACATTATAATGGTGAATGTCAATTGCATTTATATGTCATATAATATCATACTGAGATTGGATTTTCGTGCATAAGTCTGCACATTATAATGGTCAACGTCCATTGCATATATATGTCATGTAATATCATACTGAGATTGGATTTCCGTGCATAAGTCTGCACATTATAATGGTCAACGTCCATTGCATATATATGTCATGGATTATCATACTGAGATTGGATTTTCGTGCATAAGTCTTCACATTTTAATGATCAATGTACAATGGATATATATATATATATTTCATGTATTATCATACTGAGATTTGATTTGTGTGCATAAGTCTGCACATTATATAGGGAATGTACAATGGATATATATATATTTCATGTATTATTATACTGAGATTGGATTTTCGTGCATAAGTCTGCACATTATAATGGTGAATGTACAATGGATATATATATGTCATGTAATATCATACCGAGATTGGATTTTCGTGGATAAGTCTTCACATTTTAATGATAAATGTACAATGAATATATATATTTCATGTATTATCATACTGAGATTTGATTTGTGTGCATAAGTCTGCACATTATATAGGGAATGTACAATGGATATAAATATATTTCATGTATTCTTATACTGAGATTGGATTTTCGTGCATAAGTCTGCACATTATAATGGTGAATGTCAATTGCATATATATGTCATGTAATATCATACTGAGATTGGATTTTCGTGCATAAGTCTGCACATTATAATGGTGAATGTACAATGGATATATATTTCATGTAATATCATACTGAAATTCGATTTTCGTGCATAAGTCTGCACATTATAATGGTGAATGTACAATGGATATATATATTTCATGTAATATCATACTGAAATTGGATTTTCGTGCATAAGTCTGCACATTATAATGGTCAATGTCCATTGCATATAATACATGTATTATCATATTGAGATTGGATTTTCGTGCATAAGTCTGCACATTATAATGGTCAATGTCCATTGCATATATATTACATGTATTATCACACTGAGATTGGATTTGTGTGAATAAGTCTGCACATTATAATGGTGAATGTACAATGAATATATATTACATGTATTATCACACTGAGATTGGATTTTCGTGCATAAGTCTGCACATTATAATGGTGAATGTCCATTGCATATATATTACATGTATTATCATACCGAGATTGGATTTTCGTGCATAAGTCTGCACATTGCCAACTCCTACTGAACAAGGCCAACAAAACCCTTGGGTTGCTGCGGAGAACCCTGTCACCATGCACCAAGGATGTGAAGTCAAGAGCGTACACAGCCCTGGTTCGACCGCAGCTAGAGTATGGCGCTGAAGCCTGGAACCCCCACACTTCTGGTGCTGCCGAAGGTCTGGAAAGAGTACAGAAAACAGCTGCTCGTTTTGTCTTCCGCGACTACCGAAGATCCACGTCGGCTACAGGGCTTGTTTCCCAGCTGGGATGGGATAAACTGCACACACGTCGTCTTCTAGCACAAAGCACCATGCTCTTTAAAATACACCACCAGCTAGTCAACATTTGTCTTCCTCACCTCATAACTAAAGCTACATACATCAGCAGAAGAGACCACACACTCAAGCTCTCTGTTCCTGTGGCAACAATAGACTCCTACAAGTACTCATTTTACCCCCGCACCATTCGCATCTGGAATCAACTACCAGCCACAGCAGTTACTACCCCAACAGTTGCTGCTTTCCAGATGATCGCCCTCCCTGTCATCAGAGGGTTGGAACCTCCTGTAGGTTCCAGAATGCTGTAAACCATATAGCAGCATGATTTTTTACTCGCACGTCACTGTTTTACTGTATAAAGAAATTATACACCCTTTTGTTGTTTGCACCTGCACCTGCTGTCACAACACATCCCATCCCAGTATAGCTTGGAAAAGCTGCTTCAGGGATTACTTCATCAAGTATTATAATGGCGAATGTCAATTGCATTTATATGTCATGTAATATCATACTGAGACTGGATTTTCGTGCATAAGTCTGCACATTATACTGGTGAATGTACAATGGATATATATATTTCATGTTTTATCATAATGAGATTGGATTTTCGTGCATAAGTCTGCACATTATAATGGTCAACATCCATTGCTTATATATTTCATGTATTATCATACTGAGATTGGATTTTCGTGCATAAGTCTGCACATTATAATGGTCAACGTCCATTGCATATATATGTCATGTAATATCACACTGAGATTGGATTTTCGTGCATAAGTCTGCACATTATAATGGTGAATGTCCATTGCATATATATGACATGTATTATCACACTGAGATTGGATTTTCGTGCATAAGTCTGCACATTATAATGGCGAATGTCAATTGCATATATATGTCATGTAATATCATACTGAGACTGAATTTTCGTGCATAAGTCTGCACATTATAATGGTGAATTTACAATGGATATATATATATATTACATGTATTATCACACTGATGTTGGATTTTCGTGCATAAGTCTGCACATTATAATGGTGAATGTCAATTGCATTTATATGTCATGTGATATCATACTGAGACTGGATTTTCGTGCCTAAGTCTGCACATTATACTGGTGAATGTACAATGGATATATATATTTCATGTTTTATCATAATGAGATTGGATTTTCGTGCATAAGTCTGCACATTATAATGGTCAACGTCCATTGCATATATATTTCATGTATTATCATACTGAGATTGGATTTTCGTGCATAAGTCTGCACATTATAATGGTCAACGTCCATTGCATATATATGTCATGTAATATCATACCGAGATTGGATTTTCGTGCATAAGTCTGCACATTTTAATGGTAAATGTACAATGGATATATATATTTCATGTATTATCATACTGAGATTGGATTTGTATCCACAATTTTACACATGATAATGGTGAATGTCATATTGCGTATATTTTTCATGTATTATCATACTGAGAATGGATTTGTGTGCATAAGTCTGCACATTTCCTCGTATTGTTTCTATTATATCATTTCCATCTTTAACACATGATAATGGTGAATGTCATATTGCGTATATTTTTCATGTATTATCATACTGAGAATGGATTTGTGTGCATAAGTCTGCACATTTCCACGTATTGTTTCTATTATATCATTTCCATCTTTAACACCTTTCGATTCAGAGCACTGCACAATTTCAATCATTTGTTTCTCCTATATTTTGTATTTGATTGATTTTGAATATAGAATTTTACAGAATACAAATGTCTTCACAAAACTATGATTTTGAATTTCCATCGTGAATTAGCTGTGACAGAGAATAAGGCGCCCATAACTAAGCGAAGCCTTTAATGTAATATTCTTCGCTCCATACCATATCCATCTTTTGAAATATTTCCTTTCAGGGTTCTGCACCATATCTTTAATTTATATACGTAGTAAACATGTTGATCGCTACTGATTTGCATTCTTCTGCAAGAGTCTGCAAAGTTTGTGTTGATTCTCGTGTTGCAAATATATTTTCCGACATCTGTAGGCTTTTAACAAAATTGGATGTGTGTCCATAATTCGGTACATTGTTTCTTGGATATCTGTAAACTATTGTGCGTATAATCAAGACAGACATTTTCAGAAAAACGCAACACTTCAACAGGGCAAAACCTGGGCGCTTATTATGATGACGTAGCAGTTGTATACTTGAAAATACAGAGCTCAGTGAATACGCGCAAGTCCTTTGTTGCGCAGTTGTTATTTATTTACACGTTACAAAAAACGTTCCACATCTGATCAAGCCTTTTTTGCTGTAAAGGTAATATGCTCAATATCATATACAACTGTTTCAATAACATTTCAGTTCATAGGTCGGCAATGATTCCTTGTTCCTTGACGGATTCTCCTTGTATATTTCGTTGCATTCGATGTAAATATGTTTTCCGTGCATAACTCTGTATACTTTAATGGTGAATTTGTTATATAAATGCTTCATTTTATATCAAATATATATATATGACTGTTTAGATATGAGCCCGTGAACTATCAATTAATTAAAATGTGTTGTCTTCGTTTTCTGACTATTTATACCAAGTTTACTTTATTACTTGCGTAGTTGTTTTCTTTTTCATAGTCTTTACGTTAATGATGTTGATGTAATGTTTACCTTTACGATTTTTTGTTGAATATGATTGAATACAGATGATGTGTTACTGTAATGCTTCTATCAATTTATATAAGCTTGTTAAAATAACTGTTCATTTAAAGAGAATGAAAGGTAGTATTTGGGATCAAAAGAGAGATGTAGAGGTACACAATTGTACAACGTAGGGGCCGTAACTTAAATAAGGCAAATGAAAACGAGATCACTGACATGACAGATGAAATTAACAGACGGAGAAGAGAAAAAGAGAATGGCATAAGAAGCAGAAGGAGGTAGCAGAAGTCTGGAGAAGACGGAATAGATTAATTGATGTGATGAAGAAAAAAAAATCTTTTTGAAAATGAGAAAAAGATTGGATGACTTAAAAGAGAAAGCAAGGAGGATTGGAATAATCGTAAGAAATATTCAAACATGGTTTTCCCGCCCAATTTCTTATTTTTGGCCCTCAATTCGATCAAGGTGCATTGTAGATTGATGTCGGTCTTTCATATTTAAGGTCCGTGCATAGGAATCCAATTGGAGACGCAAACATTGATTCATGAACATCCGAACTAATTAATCGGCAAAATTATTCCAGTTAATGGCATTCCGATTTTTGATATCAGCATTCGATTTAATTCAGGGTAAAGCAATTTTTAACGTCATACAAAGACGTGGAAAAATCCGGAACTTCGTTACTCCGAGTGTTTGTAATTCCGAAGCTTCGTTACTCCGAAAGTTCATTATTGCGAAGGTTCGTATTTCCGAAAATGAAATAGAATTCAATATTCTGAAAATTAATTGAGGTTCATAATCCCAAGGATCCGAACATGAAATAGAATCATGTATCTTTTATATTTTCACCCTGTGGCTACAGCGGGCGGGAGGAAGGGAGGGGGGGGGGGGGGGGGGGGGGGGGTAGTGAGCACAATTTTTTTTTTGCTCCCGAAAATTTGAAAATCCCGCCGGCCGAAAAGTCGCTCAGTCGCCACAGGAAGGGCCTGGACCACCAGCCCCCCCCCTGGATCCGCCACTGGGTCCTAAGGACCTCGTTATAACGAGGTTCCACTGTATTCCCGTCTCTAATACTCCTCTCATTTCACATGTAACTCTTTCATACACACTTTCCTCGTCTCCTTTGTCTTTCTCTTCATTGGATTAATATTTCCGTCTCTGTTTTTCCCTCTCTCCCCCATCCACCCTCCCTCGATCTTCCTTGTTTTGTTCTATCTCTCTCTTTGATGTCACTGAGCTGAGAACACATTCAACTACCCTTCGATGGCACAAGCATGACATACACGTACATGAACTTTAATACAAGTTGAGTGACGCAATACATAGAAAGAAGTCGCAATTTCTGTATTGCGTTATTACCAGTCTGCGCTATCTCTTTATTAGTCACATGATAATACAGCTAGCGTACATGAACGTTCATTGTTATCTATTTACACATCTTTAGAAAAAGATACGAAAATCGAGCCTTTTAGTTTGGAGAAGGATAAAGCTTCATTCTATATAAACCTGCAATCACTTTTGAAAATGATTCACATGTATGTTTACTGTAAAAAGGTCATCCAGATGGACAAACGGTATTGAAACACATTACTATAATGGTGATAGTTCACAGCAGGAATCGGTGCAATGTCGTATTTACTTGGTTTGGGGTCTATTTAAGGATCATTGTATGCTGATATAATATAATATCACCAATACAGTTTCGTTCTTTTCTCTCTTTAGAGGTAGGTAAAAAGTTTCCCTTTTCCATTCAAGAAACAAAGTACATAGGCATACATTGGATACTATTGGTTTTTTACATTTAGGTTTTAGACTATTATCAACATTATCAACAACAAAAAATCTACATTAACGACACTCATACAAGTTTAAATGGAGAACCGACAGTCTTTTTAGTGGTATCGAATCTTCCAACATTGTCTACAAAATATTAAATATTTGTACCAATTTATTCATTTAACTGTATATTTGATTACATTAATAAGAAGTAAAGAAGATGAACTCGTAAAGTGCTTTCACATAGGGCAGTCGTTCTCATTCTTTATCACACTTAATGCTTGCAATTTCCGGTTCGTTATCAGATCAATATACAAACAGCCAAACACTTGTGAGCTAACGTATGGTAACAAACGTTGTAGAAGAAGTTTCCCTGGTAGCTAGAGTATAAAGAGCAACGTTAACATTGGATGATGAGACGATTAGAAGCCAAAGAAAGGATCGGCTTGGTGGAAGAGACATTCCTCAGGGGAGTTAGGAGGTAAGAAATCACTGCCAGGTCCCTCAAATCCATTTGCTCCAGCTTTCATACAGACAACCAATGTAGAGCGCACACTACCAATACATCTGTAAAGAAAAAAAGATTGATAATAATGGTAGCTGGTGTTATTTCCTATTCAATCTCCATTTAGTACCCGCTTGTGATGGACATCATTGTTTTAGATATAAGCCCTTAAAGGGATCGACCTCTGTAGGCCTATTAAGAGCATTGTACCGGTCTTTGAGAGTTCGACAGTGTCTTCTAGGTAATTAAGATGTTCTTGGAAAAAACTCATCAAAAAGAAGAAGTGAACCTTTTGATAAATATTGGAGATAATGAATAATGTCATTTAATGAAAGTTCAACAATCACTTGATCATTATGTCACAA